GAGAGCATTTGCAACTTTGCAGCCTGTCAAGTGGATTGCCGAGTAGGAAGATGCTTCGATCGCAATGCACGGTGGACATACAACAAAAAAGCATGAGTTTTCTCCTTGAGCATATGAGGTTGGCGCGGCAAGTAGAATTCAAATGCCTCGTGATTGGAAGGACTACGAGAGTGGCTTCTAGAAATCGCACTCACGCTGTCTTCCCACGAGCCTTCCGCGTGGTACAAAAAAGATCTTAAAGACTCAAATCGTTTTTCTCCAGGGTTGCCATAAGAAACAAGGCAGCCAGGATAATTTTTCTGAACACGTGCTCGAGCTCCCTGTGTTCTGCAATTCTGCACCCAAATTATGAAAGGACAGCCTTAGTTAGCTCGCCTAATAAGGAAGAAAGGATTTTATTATACAGTTCGTAAGAAATGAGGAACAAATTGAGGTTCTGTCACAAGAAGTGAAAGTGCATACTTGTGCTTTTAGTTTGAACTGTGACCCTGACTAAAGCGCGGGAGAGGTTATGAGGGTGCCTTCAAAAGGGGTTATAGGGGCTATATGAAGTTAGTTGGGGGTGTTTAGGGTTTGGGGTTTGCCTACACAACGCGAGACGGTATTCTACAGCCAGCGGACGTACTGCTGTTCCTACTGAACATTCAACATCCGGCTAGTCGTTCTTGCCGGGAAAGAGCAAAGACATTGCAAGTTTTCAAAGGAACCATAATTACTCCATGTGTTCATCGTGGAGTAGGAGGACCCTAGCCATTCGACAAGATTAAGGGAGGTGCTCATTTTTACCAAAACGACCGTTTTCAGTTCGCTGTTGGTCATCAAGATGGATTTGAACCATTCAAAACTAACAGTATGGAGTTCTTTTACAATGTCTTGGAGGAAGGGAACCCCGGTTTTTGTCAAGCAGAAAAACAGGCTAAGCTAAACTGAGGCAGTATTCGGGCAAAACTTACGTGCGTTTGTGTGCAAGGCAATCAGACATTCGAGGTGTCCAAGAGCATGGGAGAAAGAAAACGGTCATAGTATTTCACATAAGTTGTTTCTCATTTGCGTAGATGGGTGCAAGCGTGCATTTCGCCCAAGTTCAATATGAACAAGGGCGTGCATCGAACGCCTTTGGTTGCGCGGGTTCGTTGTCTTGAGCTACAGCTTTGATGTTGACGCACCAGGAGTTTGCAAGAGGCCTGTGTCGGATGTGCGACACAGTTATTGTTTGCAATTGAAGATCTCGCATGCGTTTGTTGCTCCTGCTGACGAGCAAACGTTGTCATGGCTCTATAACTCCTACCTAGGTCCTCAAGTCAGGTTTGTTGCAAAGTGCCGCAACATTGGGCAGAGCCGGCTGGCTCGCTAAACAGGTCCTGGGAGCGCGCTTGGTCTCGGATGTGGCTAGGGCTCCTAATTATCTAGATATTGGGCTACAACATGCTACAACTATAGGGTATATAGAACCCAGTTCCCATTATTTAGGTAACTGGAGCCCTGGGAATTACGGCGGCGCATCACCAGTCGGGAACACGTGCTCTGTGATGGCTCAACTGGAACAATCCGCGTTGGGACGGGACTGAATGATTAGCTCACATTTATAACCGCGTTCCAGAATTTTTTGGCAGGATGGCACGGGTGAAGGTGGTTTGGTTGGTGTTCCGACGAACACGCCGGTCATGCACGTAGTTCGGGCTTTTTTCCTGCCTGTCGGATTAGCGCGCACCGTGTGCATCGACGTCTGGAGATGTTATGCATTGATTAACTGGGGGCAGAGCCCAGTCCACGTGCATTTGATATTGTACCACGTGCGAAAGCACACAGTGTTCTAGAGCTGATGCGTGCTTCGCCCATGATGTTGTGATCCAGTGGGTAAACAGGTCGTGCGGACAGAAATTCAACTTCAAATTGTGCATACATGTAATGTAATGTTTCTCACATTAAAAACGTTTGCTTCAAAAGGAACAGCCCCGTAACGTTTGGAAATCACATGAACCTTCATCTCGGGAATGTTTTTTTGTCCATGAACCTGCCAATTTGAATGGTATTATTGCGTTTTGTTGCCGCATGGGTTGTGAGATCCTGTTTCATAGCCTGCCTGGCCCTTGGTGTGGCATCTGCGCCTCCCGGATCTAAATTCCTTACCATGGGCACTTAATTTGGGCCCCGCTTGTTTCCTGGGTCCTAACCATGGGCCGTTATTTGGGCTTGTAAAGTGTTATGGGGTGTATAATATACAGGAGCCTATACTGGAGGCCCGTGCTTCGGACGTTAAATTGAATTTCTCATCTTCAGCTCGCAAGATACGCAGCTCACTGCTTAAAACTCATCATCACAACTGTACCAGCCTGTATAGACTCAATGTGGAAATGCAACTTCGTGAAAACCAAAACTTTTGTTCTATGTTCGTCCTTGAAAAGCTGCAGCTGTTCTCAGCCGCTTGTCTGGTATCCAAACTAACGTTTCGAAAGGAGAGATCCATCAAACAACGCGGCTGTCGCGTTTTCCCAATCAGTTGCATCCTAAATCAGGCCCTTCATGTCGCACAGCCCCCTAAATAGTGAGGCAGATGCGCTGCTGATTTGCTCGGGTGCCGGGATGGGAGTTGACAGCGGCCTCGGGACTTTTCGAGGTCGCAATGCTGGCGTTTGGCCACCTTTGAGCCTGGCCTTCAAATGGCATGCGTGCATGGCTTGTACCGCATAGGAGTTGTAAGCTTCGTCGCCCCTTTTGCTGCAGCAGGTGCTGTCAATGAATGCCTTAACTAAACGGTGAGTGGACTTGGTTGTTGGTGTTTCAAAAGCGGCAAATGCAAGTAGTGGTCATTATTGCACGAGTAGTATTGTATACAACCATTGCTATTCACTGTCATGATCACACCGTATAAGTTACCGTGTATTAGTTTCGGTCAAACAAGAGTCAACACCTTGACGACTCCCTGCTCGTGGCTGTAGCTGGCACCTTATCGGCCCCAGCCACAAGGTTGCCTCGCTAAGTACGATACCAATCTTGGGTTTCCCGCATTAGAAGACTTTTTATGTCAGGCGATATTTCATCAGCCTTATAGCTTTGGCACGTACCCTTGTGTCGACAGCTTAGGAAGGCGATGCAGATGGATTTCAGCCAAATGTCTTCCCCAGGCGCAAAAGGGATTATATGTTTTTCCTTAAGCTACCGATGCTACTGAACATGCATCTTAAGATTTAAGAGCCTCCGGCTCAAGACACCGACCCCAGGGGCAGTCAAGGTTTTTCCCCGGTAAGACGAGACGGAAGCGAGAAGGAAAGTCGTGGCAAGAATCATATTTTGCAAACGGGAGTTAGTTTCACGCCAGCACAGCCCGATATTGCAGCAGCAGCACCGCGATCAAACTAACGACGTTGCGTTATGTCCGAACAGTTGTCGCTCCGTCTACGGCTCAGATGACCGAGCACGAGACCACGCAAACGAGATGGATTCAAGCCAGGCTGCCGGGACGCCGCAAGTCATTGGGCGCCTGGGCATTTGGTGTGTGGGCCGTTTCTGCTAGCTGTTATGAGTGTATTGCAACAGTGCAAGTCAACCCTTCGCCCGGACATCACTTGACCTCCGTGGCCTCAGGCGAGGCAGGCCCCGTAGGCCAAGATGCATTATCCATCAAGGTGCCGACCCAAGGCCCTTGGGACCCTTCCCCAGGCCCTTTGCCCATGGCCTGAACGCCGGCTCAGACGGCTGCCTAGGATGTTGGGACCTCCAGACAAACCCAGCTGTGGCATCCCCTTGCCCGGCGTTTTGGTTTTCGCCTTCTCCGTATTTTGAAATATTATTGCAGAGTTATACTGTTGTACTGCAGATACTGCATGTACATCTTCATGCATATGCATCCATCTGCGCGTAGGCTTCGCAGGAATTTCTGTTGTAGTCCTTATGACCAAGATCGGCCATGTTGTGTATGCTGGATAGCCGAACTTGACCCCTGTCATCTTTTTAATCTGAATTTTAGAAGATTCGTAACAGTGCTGATACATAATATCACCCCGGCACGACCTAAAATCGCAGCGCTGCCGTACACGTTGGTGTTTCAAAGTTAGCGGATACAGCGTCCCAAATATGGACTTTCCATAATCTTTATAGATCCGTACGATAGGGGCTTAAATACTTGACGATATTCTGGTTCTGAAGTCCTTGTATGATTACGGTGTAGTGTAAATCACGCAGACCTCAGAATGCTATTGGTACTTGTTGCAACCCCAAACCCTGGACTCTTACATTAAGGCCACAGAAGCCACCTCAAATTGACAAGCTGCGACTTCAGGGTTTGGGGGTCTTTGGTTTCGGGTCTGGGGTCTTAGGTTTCGGGAGGGTTTGAGATTTTGGATTGAGGCACAGACTGAGGTTGTCGATATCCATTCCAGTTTGCCCAACCCCCAACTAGCGCTACTTTTCCCTCTATTTTGATGGTACTATGTTGACTTTTCTTTGTTGAGTTTCCCTTGATTGATTGTTACGGGGGTGGATGGTTCACTACGCAGGGGAAATGATTTTAGTTTATGATTTGGGTTTCCTTTTCCAGCTGCAAACAATAATTAATCCAGCCCACCATTTTTATCAGCAACCCTGCGCAAGACCCCCGGGGGCTCCAACTTTATGAAATCTCAAAGTCGGGGGTTTCTCAGGTTAGGCTTCAAAGGGTTGAGGGCATGATGCATGTTCAGCAAATCGTGGTACGTGTATAGGAAGCCATCCGGAAGTAGCGTGGGACAAGGTTTCGGGTTGGAACGTTCAGAATTTCCAGACTTGGGGCATCCCGCAGTTCAAGGTGTAGACCAAATAATCGCCTCCCTGAGCTATTGAATTATCCACCCCTTCCAACATGATAAGCAGTTGCAACATGTCATCGTCATATCCCTTAAAATCCTGAAAATACATACACCTAAACATATGTATACACGCTATTCCCATAGCCTCCTTTCCCTAAACCCTAAACCCCTAAACCCCTAAAAAGGCTTCCTAAAAGGTCCTCTATAAACTTCCAGGATATTTCGACTACGACCCGCGTCTGGCTTGGGCCTTCTGGAAATTCCGCCATCAGGCCTGCATACTGCAGAGGTCTAAATGAGCCATAGTCTCAACTCCGTAAAGGCTTAAAGGGGGGTCATTCATATAAGGGACTATATAGGGTTTGGGGTTTGAGGTTGGGGGGGTTAGGGTCTCAACTCCTAAATGGGGGGTTATACAGGGGGTATCATAGCGATGATTATTGTGGTCCCACATTCCCAAAACTACCTCGAATCGACCTCGAAATGAGCTATAGTCTGGACTCCTAGTACCCCTCTTATTAAGCCTTGTAATACTCCCCTATATAACCCCCTGTAAGCAGTTTAGACTATAGCAGGCCTCCATGTTACTTAAAGGCTGCGGGAACCTTGTCCCCTAGTTCGGGTTATTAAGTGGCTTGTAGGCCCCGTTACAACTTGCTTACTAAGTCCTCTGAGCCTTCAAGCATTTCTTGCTAAAAACATCACAGCTGATATGCTGCATGGGATGTAAAGTAGCGTTGTGTTTCAGAGTTTATGGGTTGGTGTGCGAATGAGGGTTCAGGCGTATGGAGCTTCAGGGATTTTCCCTTCAGGGTTGTAATTTGACCTATTTGGATACCCTTTACAGTACCCGGTATTGTCTTCGATTTTTTGATGGTCCATGAGTCATCTGCGTGGGGGCAATTTATGTTTTTGTCCTGAAAATGGGTCCCCTTTGAGAGGGTCCCAATAGCAAGGAATTTTTGGGGATGATGTTGGTGCCCGAATCTTCGAAAACTGCAAGGTATTGTGTTGATGAGGCAGGCAGTCGTGCCCGAATTGGGGAGGTTTGAAAGAGCACCTGCATAATGCCTGAGCATGAACTCCACCTTTAAGTCTATTGTTATCCCGTCAGACCCCCAGGGTCCTACTTCAACGCACTTTCGTTCGTATGCCTGATGCTTGCTAGGGCTGCTAGGAGCCAGACGTAGTTCCAGGTGGTAATTGCCAGGTGACTAGCCTCATAAGGCTCCTATAAGGATAATGGGCCAATCTAAGCTCTCTATAGGGCGCCTTCAGGTGCAGGTTTTGAGTCGGGGGGGCAGCAGCGCAGTTGGTGGAGAAAGGGAGTTGTCATGGCAGCATCGACACTCGGAGAAAATGTAGACCCAGCTTCCGTGTGAGAGAGACCTGGACGTGGAGAGGTGTTGGGAGGTCTGCGAACACCTCTAAACCCTAAACCCTAAACCGTGTGGCTGCCTTCTGTACAATTTCGGGTTGTATTCGCCGCTTCTAAGTTTGAGGAATGCCCAAGAAGGAAACAATGAACGTTTACGTTGGTGTTTTTTCCACCCGTCAAGGCAGAACTTGTAACTCTAATAGAACCCCAATATACTCCCGATATAACCCTAATATAGCCCAACTTAGTTCCATCGATAAAGGAACTTACCATCTAGGGCCCCGAAAGTACGGGGCAGCCACCAGCATGAGGCCTACACGCACGGCGCTCCCCACGACGGTTACCGGCTTTTGGCGCAGTGGGGCCAGAAGATGACTCATGGACGAAAGTAATTACTCTACAGTAGTCTTTTTAGGATTTTCTAAAATTCCTATTATGGTATAATCCTAAGGAATTCTCAAAAAATATTTCTATTATGGGTCTAAGGAGACTGCAGATTAAGCCCTTCTTTCACTGCAGGGTCCAGGCTAGGCAGGGCAAGGGTTGTACAGTATCAGCTGCCACTGCAGATGTACAGGGATTTTTCAAAGGACCCCCCTAGACCCTAGAAAAGAGCCATTGCAACAAGAAGGTCGCAGATTCAGGGTTCATGAAGAAGTGCAGGAAATATGGCTGCTTCTCTGTGACATCGAACATTGACGGCCACTGGGAGCGCACAGAAGGCATTGGGGAAAAGAGGGTCTACGAGTGCCATGGAGCCCTTACGAGGATGCAGTCGGCTCCTGCTTCGGGATGTTTTTGATGTCTCTTCTCCTATTGTAATGAAAACCACTTGCCAGATTGCTTTAAAAAAGATCACATTCACAAACTTTATCCTAAGCCTTAATTACAGGGCATCAGACTCTAAACCCTCTACCAACTCAGTACCCTGAACCCAAATCCCCGGACTCTCTTACCCTAAGCCCTAAACCCAGGCAGTGCGTTGAAGATGATGGGAGGATCTGGCGCACAGATCCCGAGCAGATGGCTAAGATAGAAGTGCCGGAGTGGGATTTATCTCCAGGAGTCGAGTAAGGTCGGAATAGTAGTACCAGTAGTAATAATAGTAAGGGGCGTATATGGTGCTTAGGGCCTAGGGTAGGGTGTGTGTGTGTGGGGGGTGCATTTGGCATGGAATTTCCATTTCTCAGCCAAAGGTCAGAAACTTGGACATGCACGAGGCAATCCAGCAACTAGCTCACCCTAGCCTCCTAGCCCCCAAACCCTAGACTCCATACGTCCCCGAGCCTGGAAAAATGAAGAGCTGGTTCCCCTAAATGATTGATGTGTTCAGTCTTTCCTTTTAGTGCCCCCAATCCCCCTAACATTTCAACCCCAGAGCCCGCCCCCTAATACTAGATATTCTCGTATAATTAGGGTTTAGGGTAGCCCCCTAATACTGGTCCCGTTGTGGTATATTATAACTTGGTGGGGTTTGGGGTACCCTAAACCCTAGACCCTTAGGATTCTTCAGCCAACCCCCGCCCCTCCGCCCTGACCAGGAGAGACCGTCTTGGTGCGAACCTCTGCTGGCGAGGCCAGGGGCTCCAAGGGTGTAGCTTGGGTACTGCCCCCCCTCAGTTACAGTTGGAGAATATTTGAATATGGTTATATATAGCCCTTAACAGGACACCTAATATGGACTGTTACTGGGTGGCGGCAGTACCCAAGGTGTAGCGTAGCGTTTTAGGCTTTAGGATTCAGGGTATAGGGTTCAGGGTCTACGTTTAGGGTTCAGGGCATCCTCAAAACCTGCATGCCCCAACCATCCCCGTAAATCGCTTGGACACGCCTTAACCTAGAATTCAAGCCTCCAACTCCCAAACTGCACCCCCTAAAACCGAAGCCCCAAACCTGAAGTCCCCAACCAAGCCTTAAACACGAGACAACAGGCCGAGAAGTGGAAATTGTCCCGCTCATACACCGCCAAGTCATATGATAATCCTCATGCTAGGGTCCCCTGATTGTCCCCTATACAGGGACCCCTAAATCTTAAGATGATGCTGTCATCTGTAGACTCTAAACCCAAACCCTCAACCTCAAACCCTAAGCCCTAAACCCCCAAACCCTAAACCCTAGACCCTAAACTCTAGCTAAACCCGCAACCCCAAACCCTAAAACCTCAACCCAAAATACGTCTACCCAGGTTGAGGCATTGGTACAGGAGGATGGATGTTCGCTGGAGGTCGATGGTCGCCCGGTTACCGCAAAGGCTGCATCTAGACCTGAAGTGGGGTTTTCCCCCCAAAATTAGGTGTACCTTTAAAAGAATAATGGGGGTCCTAGAGGGATATATAGGGATACATCCCTGGAAAGCGGGCTATGTGGGATTATATAGGGTTTAGGGTTGCCCAAAATTAAGGGTACCTGTTTGGAGGTCCCCAGAATAAGGAATATAGTCTTTTGGGGTCTATATTTGCGTCCCCCTATTTAGGGAACTAACAAGTCTTGCGCAGAGCCTCAGGTTTAGGGTTTCGGGTGGAGGGCTTGCCTCTGAAAGAGGCCTATGGGGCTTATATAGGGGTGCACAGGGTGTAGGGTAGAACAATCAATTGAACGAGCGTTCGCGTATGGGGGTCGAGGTATTCAAGATGCTGCGTACCCTTTGGGGCCCTGGACATGTATCGAGATTATGATATATGGGCTTCCAGGACATCATCAGCGTTTCATTCGAATTGTCAAGGTTTCTGACGGAGATGTTAGGCTTTCCGGCTTCTTGCTATGCGGAGTTTCCTCTTGGCGTGAAGGTAGCTAACTAACCTTGTCAAGACAGGGTCGGAAGATGGCTGTTGAGCTTGGCTTCTGAATTTTGAAATGTGGGTATCCCTGTTACCGTAAACCCTAAACCCTAAACCCTAAATTTATGATGTTCTTCACATAGTTGACCATTGGGGTGCAGTTCTTCCCGCATGCTCATAATGTTGCCCGACCTGTGTGTGCAGCGTAGGGCATAACGCTATTCTGAGAAAGAGCCGCGGATTCAAGATTCACAGTTGCGTTTTAGGGTTTAGGGGCTTCTGTACACATTTTCCGAACTTCTGAAACCATGCCTACAACCATAGACCTTAAATCCTGTCCTTGAAATCCTACTATGTAGTATTATATGTCACCCAAGACCCTAAACCCTAATGTCGGGTTCTGATTATTAAATCCCCCCCCCAACAAGTCCGGATCTGAA